GATACCAAAAAAAGTTTTATAAGGACACAGTATGTATGATCGTCATTTTAACGTTTATTGTTCGTGTGCGCATCTGTTTAGTCTCTTTTTCGATAATTAAATCCTGTATGCACGAAATGTAGCTCCTCTGCGTAGTGGCTACTAATGGGATCCGTAAACGGTGTCGCCGTTTTCCGGGAGAAGGCACTGGAAAACCACTCCTCTGTTCGAGGGCACTGTATTGATGGTATTGGTCTTCCAGATAATCTGGATATTCGCTCTTTTTATTTCTGGATTACATCCTAGATAAGAAGGAACAATAGGTAGATGTGTAATAGCTCCCTATCTGTTCCCTTTTCTCCTGAGAGTACCGTACGAAGGGACTTTTGATGGCAGGCTTTTTCACGTTTTGATTTTCGAATCTGATACTTCGGTATGGCTGAAAATCAAAAGAGTTAAGATTGAATCAAAGGATTTCGACTTGTGAAAGAAGAATGATTCTACACGCAGCAAAGGGGAGAGCCAAAATCGTCCATGTGCAATTACATAAATTTGTTGTCAGAGAAAAATGAAGCTGAAGAATGAACGTGGAGCTGAATCAGTGCTGTGTGGTAATTTGAAACGAATTTTGCAGGAACTTGATATAATCTATAAAATTCCGCACTGTGTGCCCATCTCAGCGCACCATAAATGGAATTTTGATGATCTGCTGGAGAAAATGTGGGATTACCTGAATCTCATTCGAGTGTGCGTCTGAAGTTCCTTTTCATCTAATTTTTTTCATTGGCTGACAAAAGAGCCAAGTTGTATAAAAAAACGCATTTTGTTTGTTAAATCATCTGACTTTTGTGTGGATTTTTATGCGTTTTTGCCATGCAGCGCTAAAGCGCTGCAACAGGCAGCAGAAACGCATATTGCAACGACCCTGTCAGTGTGTGTGTGTGTGTGTCAGGGTATTTCAACTCGCCAACCCCGCAAGCTTTGAAGCTGAAATTTTGCCAGTATTCTCAGCAGTCAAGTGCCATCCCAGCACCGCGATATCAACTCTTGTGCACATCTGGGCCCTGCGTACGAGCAAGTGAAAGTTTTGGCGAGAAAAATGATAACTCGGAAACGAGAAAAGCTAGAAAGCCAAAAACATAAGGGGATTTTCCCTACTCTTGCATGACACAAAAAGATTTCAAATTCAGCTGACCAGGACTGCCGGGACTTACATACGAGCACGTGAAAATCATGGCGGGAAAATTCATAACTTGGGAATTAGAAAAGCTAGAAAGTTAAGACTTTGGGGGAATGTTTCCTACTCACGCACGACCAAAATTTTTTAAACTGAGCTCCTTAGGACTGCCCGGGGCTCACGTACGGGCACGTGAAAGTTTTGGCGCGAAAATTACCAACCCGGGGACGGGAAAAGCTAGAAAGCTGAAACTTTGCGGCAATGTTCCCTCCTCATGTACGAATAAAACCAGGTGTTTAGATGCGCCGGGCCTACGTACGGGCACGTGGGAATTTTGGCGCGAAAATCACTAACCCGAGGACGAAAAAAGCTAGAAAACTGAAACTTTAAGGCAATATCCCCTACTCATTCATGACCAAAAGATTTCAAATTCAGCTCCTTAAAACTCTCACGTACGGACACGTGAAAATTCTGATGGGAAAACTGCTCATTCGGGAACGGGTAAAGCTTAAGGCTTTAATTTTAAGGGATTATTCCCTGTCCAAATGCGACAAAAAGATTTAAAATTTAATTCTTCTAGTGCTGCCTTCGCGGACCAGCAATGTTCCATTTGTTGGGTCACTGAAGTAGACATCTACAACCAGTATACCACATAGCTGCACAATTAACTTCCCGAACTTCGAGGGCCTGTATGTCACAGGGTTAGCTACTGTGATTCCTTGTGATCTTGCTACGGCACGAAAAGTGCAAAAACGCATA